CTCCATAAGCAGTGACCGTTGGAAAAACTTAAACAGATGCTTAACGTCACACTTAGATTCATAACGTACATAGCTGAATGTCCTGACAAATACTGAATCTCGTCCTCTCTGTGAAACGCTACGCTGGCTGTATGGTATGTATGGTATGGTACAGAGGGCTCATGACTTAATAAAACAGTTCAAGACGTTAAGCATACAGACAAAGGAAAATATGGCAAACCTTCCAAGGACAAATAAATCACAGAGAATAACTAATAATAATCAAATATAATAACAGGACTTTACTTGGCGTTTTCGCACCATCAAATTAACATTAACAAAAGATTTGAATGGTATACGTAGAAAGAACTGGGATAAAAACTCAAGAAGATGTGAGAAACAGCTTTGAAACGTTTTAAAGTGGAAAAAAAATGCTATTGAAATATAATATCCTAGATGACTTGGTGAAAAAGAAAGCCATTGCAAACGCGGTTGCTATAGTAACATCAGAAAAACCTTGATTAGTATTGTCAATAAGGGATTCAAATTGCTTCTTCGTCTCTCGTTGGACTAATCTAAAACACCAACAACACCTTATAGAAAGCAATTGAACATCAATAAGTCCTTGATTGACAGAAATAATGCAAATGCCTCTTCTTGACCTCTTATTGGCCCAAATTGAAACACCACAACACGTGACACGCTGTAAATGAACTGACCCGTGACAAATAAATGTAACTGCAAGATTACATTGATTACTCTGACAGCAAGTTTTTAAGCCCAGCCATCGAGATGAAATTTGGCGTTATGTGTGCGAGGCCTAAATGTTTAACTTCTTTCCAGGCCTAATGTTGTAATGCCTAATATTTACTAATCAAATGGAAACATTTTCTTCTGTTATATTTTTACTCTATTGCAGTTAATGTAATTGTTTGTATGATTATTCAGGTTCGCGTTGCTTCATTCTGATTTTTTTGTGTGTTATTTTATTGTGATGGACGCTGAGTGTACAATTTGCGAGGCAGAGTTTTGCAACCGGA